CATAAAAAACATTAAAGCTGCTTTCCGCAGCATAACAATATAATGTTTCATTCATTCACAATTATAATGTGAAAAGAAATGAAAGGTCATAACTTTAAAACAGAAGATAAAAACTGAAATACAAATTCATATTAATGATATTTACAGTAAGACCAAAAGTATTGAGACCTATTAAAATGTTCACTCTTTGTTATATTGCAGACATTTGCATAAAAAGTTTTTTTTTTCCTCATTAATGTACACACAGCACCCCATATTGACAGAAAAACAGAATTGTTGACATTTTTAATGTTAAAAAAGGTCTTAAGTATTCAGAACCTTTGCTCAGTACTTAGTAGAAGCACTGTTATAATCTAATTCAGCCATGAGGGTTTTTGGAAAAGAACAAGTTTTTCACACCTGGATTTGGGGATTCTCAGCCATGTATTTTTGCAGACCCTCTCCAGTTCTGTCAGGTTGGATGGTAAACATTGGTGGACAGCCATTTTTAGGTCTCTCTAGTAATCCTCCGTATGCCGAGCTAGTGTTGTTCCCATACTGATAAACCTCCGGCGACCTGTTATTGTGAATTTTTTTCCATTTTATAAGGTTCCATTTACAGTATCGATGTTGTAATGTAATTAAAATACATTCAGTTAAATTAACTTTGGCATTAATTTAGTTGTTGAAGCGTGAAACGAGACAAAAGGCCTTTTACTTGCACTTGCCCCTCAGAATCGGCAGGCTTGCCCAGAAGCTCCATTGAATATACAGTACTGGGGTAAAATAAATGCTCATATTATAAAGACATGGTGGGGGAAATTTAATTTAATGCAGTGCTTCATGTACAATCTGAGACACACTTTAGATCAGATATCACTCAGCCAGTGGAGATCGCTGATTTTTTAAAGAAAACAGACCTTAAACAGGCAGATTTTTGCATTGGCATACAGTTCACTGGAAGTGCTTAACCCAGCTTACTTGCAAATTAAAAGTCCTATTAGCATGCTTCGGCATATACCCTATTGGTTTTAAGTCAGGCCTCTTACTGGGCCATTCAAGAACAGGCAGAGTTGTTGTGAAGCCACTCCTTCATTATTTTAGCGGTGTGCTTAGGGTCATTGTCTTGTTGGAAGGTAAACTTTCGGCCCAGTCTGAGGTCCTGAGCACTCTGGAGAAGGATTTCGTCCAGAGTGCCCTGTACTTGGCCGCATCGATTGCAACCAGTCATCCTGTCCCTACAGCTAAAAAACACCCCCACAGCATGATGCTGTGTATGAGTGCCACAGCAAAGGGTCTGAATACTTAGGACCATGTGATATTTTAGTTTTCTTTTAAATAAATCTGCAAAAATGTCAACAAAATGTGTTTTTCTGTCAATATTGGAAACTGTGTGTAAACTAATGGTGAAACATAAGATGCCCTTCCTTCAACTTTATATATATAGAGTCAAGCCCAAAATTGTTCATACCCCTGTCAAATTCTGACTTCAATTTACTTTTATTCAACCAGCAAGTTTTTATTGACCTGAAATGACCCATGCTTCTCCCAAAATATAATAAGACGATGAACAAGAGGCATCATTGCATCATTTATTTACATTTGATCAAAAACTTTAAGTCAGATTATGCCAGGTGTATGAATATTTTGGGCTTATTTCTATTTATTTATTTATTTATTCATTAATTTATTAAGTTACAAGAAAGGCAAATTGTCACTTTTTATATTTTCATTTCCACTCTTTACACCTAAAATTATATTTTTTTCTTTTAGTTTTGACAGACTTTTTGGCAAAACACTTTATTACATACTTTTCATTTATTTATTCATATTTTCCACTTGATGTCATTATTTTGAAACTTTATCACAATTTCCACTTCATCATAATTTTCACTTGATGTCATTATTATGACTTTTTATCTCATCATTTCCATCTTGTCATAAATTTCATTGTTATGTTATAATTATGGCGACACGGTGGCTCAGTAGCGCCTCACTGCAGAAAGTTCGCTGGTTCGAGTCCCGGCTGGAGTAATAGGCATTTCTGTGTGGAGTTTGCATGTTCTTCCCATGTTGGCGTGGGTTTCCTCCGAGTGCTCCGGTTTCCCCCACAGTCCACAGACATGTGCTACAAGTGAATAGAGTAAATTAAATTGGCCATAGTGTATGTGTTTGAACGAATGTGTATAAATGTTACCCAGTACTGGGTTGCAGCTGGAAGGGCATGTGTAAAACATATAAATAAAGTATAGATAAAGTATAAATATAGATAAAGTGGCGGATAAATTGGCAGTTCATTCTGCTGTGGCGACCTCTGATGAATAAAGGGACTAAGCTGAAGGAGAAAAAATAAATGGGTCACCTTTATGACTTTTAATTATGACAAATGACATAAAATGTAACATTTTCAGGGTGTTAAACCAAACACACTCACAAATACAGACAAGATAGGTATAGGATTGAAAAATCATAATATTCATAAAAGTTTTCCTCACTACACATTACTCAGAGTCACAATCCCTGCGGTCTCAAACCCCAGAGCCTAAAGCGCCCCAGCAGAGCGTGTTCCTTCTAGTAAACACCTGCAATTCATCCCACCTGCTCGGCATGGGAGGTCTCGTCCCATAATCTCCCACATACCTCCAAAACGGCCTCAATCTCTACCCCGTCCTCTACCTGACCTCTCTCGGCTTCTCCTGTGAAACTATGCCATCACATGGGACACAAAAGAGAGGGAAACCACTCATAAACGGTGGTCCGCCGTCAGCAACTGCAGCTGCAGTGACCGCAACCATTACCTGCTGCTCTCTTTCATTTACCCACCACACTTTCAGAAAGAAATACGACAATGGCAGACAATGGCAATAGGACACAGAGATAGAGGGAAGGCAAAAGCGGTGCGCTGCTCAGAGGATCCGGTTTCAGACGTTGATGATGGGCCAAGCCGGAGGGTCGGAGCATGGGAAACAGGCAAAGCGAAGGTCCTGTGTCAATAAGGGACAGTGGTCGGGCACAATGGGGCGAGCTTCACACAACAGCACTGACAGACACCCACACAAAAGCAGCCATCCATTCTCACACAGCCAGCAGAATGAGGCAGTGTGAGGCTGCCCAGGGCCATGTTTGAACAGCACACACACACACACACTCACTCACACACGCACACCGCATAAACAAACACACACACGCATATACACAAACATTCAGGCAGATGAATGAACTTGGCCAAACAAACACACTTGCAGAGGTACTCCAAAACTAGCAGAGTTTAGGCTGCAAAAATCTATTCTCTTTTATCATTTTTCAATCTACATTTTTTATAGTGTATATATTTTTATATTCATTTAATTTCTTTTGTTTGAAAATGTTTGAAAAAATAGATGTCTCAAAAATAAATCTCACTTTGCACTTAGCATTTGGCAGCAATGTTTGACTTTTGTCGTTTTCATGTACTGTAATGTACTGTAATAGCACCTAAAGGATTTATATTGGTACCAAAAAGCTATATATTAAAACCTAGAGTTCAAAGTACCAATATGCTCTTAGGTACAAAACATAAAGCTTTTCAAAGGTATCAGCATTTCTAACATTGTAACAATTTTTGTAAATATTTCTGGGAGTGTTTAAATAAATGATCAACAATAAAATAAAAACATTAAATGTGTTGAGAATACTTCTGACAGTGTTTAAATAAATGATCAACAATAAAATAAAATAAAAATTAAAGTTATGTAAATATTTCTGGGATGGTTCAAATAAATAATCAAGAATAACATAAAAAAGTAAGTTATGTAAATATTTCTGAGAGGGTTTAAATAAATAATCAAGAATAAAATAAAAAACTAAAAGTTATGTAAATATTTCTGGGAGTGTTTAAATAAATTATTAATAATAAAATAAAAACATTAAAAGTTATGTAAATATTTCTGGGAGTGTTTAAATAAATTATTAATAATAAAATAAAAACATTAAAAGTTATGTAAATATTTCTGGGAGTGTTTAAATAAATTATTAATAATAAAATAAAAACATTAAAAGTTATGTAAATATTTCTGGGAGTGTTTAAATAAATTATTAATAATAAAATAAAAACATTAAAAGTTATGTAAATATTTCTGGGAGTGTTTAAATAAATTATTAATAATAAAATAAAAACATTAAAAGTTATGTAAATATTTCTGGGAGTGTTTAAATAAACTATCAATAATAAAAATAAAACATTAAAAGTTTTTTAAATATTTCTGAGCATTCAAATAATTGATCAACAATAAATTAAAAACAATAAAAGTTTTGTAAATATTAGGAGTGTTCAAATAAATGATCAACAATAAAATAAAACATAAAAAATTGGCCTAGAAGTCTTTCGAAATTAGATAAAAAGTCATAATTTTAAGCTTTAAAAAGTGTAAATTTAGAAATAAATAGTGACTATTTGCTTTTCCTTCCACTTATTTTATAAGTTATTAATATATATATAATGTTTATAAAGTTAAAAGCAACTTGTCACTTTTCATAACTTATTCATTCATTTTCTTTTCAGCTTAGTCCCTTTAGTAATCATGGATCGCCACATCAGATTCAACCGCCAACTTATCCAGCATATGTTTCACGCAGTGGATGGCCTTCCAGCTGCAAACCAACACTGGGAAACACCCATACACTCTTGCATTCCCACACATACACTACGGACAATTTAGCTTACCCAATTCACCTACTGTATACCACATGTCTTTGGCAGGGGCGCCCCCAAGGGGTGGCCAGGGGTGGCCACGGCCACCCCTCGGTAAACTCTGGCCACCCCTGTGGCCACCCCAATATACTTTTGCTGTTGACATTATTGATTTAAATGTACTTATAAATCCCCAATGTTTAAATAAATAAAATGCAACCACTAAATTATTGTTGGTGTTACTGACGTAGCTGATTCATTGTCTCTCCCCCTTAGTGCTGGTTCAATGCTGAATGCTGTTGAAAGCAAACTGACGCATGCGCGCAGAAAACCATTCTCGCGTGCCTCACGCACTCCTGTGTGAATCCTATGGCAAGCCCAAGAGCTCATAAAAACACTATTAATCAATCGCGTTTACAATTAAAACGCCGCATTAAACGGCGCTAATACCATTTCAAACGCCGCTAAAAACGCCGTTCTGATTGCAAACGCCGCAAATAACGCGCGTAAACCTGTAAAAAACGCCGTTTTTAACGCCGTTTTAGTGTTAGTGAAAAGCGCGGTTTATGACGCGATCCGCTTGCCACAAAACGCCGTTTAAAACGCCGTTTTAACCCCACTGAAACGCGCGTTATAAACGGCGCTTTCCTGAAGTATAATGAGCCACGCCCGCTGATTTCCACAGCCAGTAAGCTTGAGCTGCTCTCACCCAATCAACGATGAACAGAACCAGACAAGACTAGTTCACCACTGATCGTAGCGGAAGAAGGGACTCTGGACTGATAGCAAATGCTTATTTACAAAGTACCTTTTACAATAGATCGATTCCACGTCTTTGTGCTTGTAAATGTTCATTTTAGATAGATGGCATCAGAAGAAATGTATTTTTGTAAGTGCCTTGGCAAAAGTGAGCGGGCATGTTATTGTAACCCTTATTTATGGCTGTTTACAGACCATTCTCTCCAACGTGGGCATCGTAAATAAACGCTGGTTACCAGGGTGATAATTCGTTTCTTTTCTTTAATCTGGAGCATCGACATAACATTCACAAACAACATTACAACAGCATTGCATCTGCCGAATTCCTCCACTTCCTTTTTTCCCTCTTTCTCCTGCTTTCCGGTGCGCCTCCCTTAAAGGAGCCAGAGCACAACAATAACTTTCTCAACTAACACATATTAAACCTTGTATCAGACATATTGAACGTAAATAGAAAATCTTTTAAGTAGATTCAATAACATTTTTACAGTTAAGTATTAATTAGCAAAATATTAATTGAAATAATGAATAAAATATAAAGTTACATTGACAGCAGGTCTGCAAACGCAAACTAACCCACTCAATACTATTAGGGCTGCATGGGCAACATCAGTTGGAGGGCTAATGCAGATTTTAGCTCCAGCCCATCAAGCACCGGCCAGCTTTAGTGGTCTTGAATACGTTGGTTAGCTTGTTTGGGTGCGTTTGATGTGCGTTATAGCAAAACTCCACAATGCCATCCCTGACAGGCCCTGCCAGGTGCATTTTAATAGGGCAGACCTTATGACTGATTTTGGACCCTCTTGTTCCTTTCATTTAGGCTATTTATTCACTTATTTGTTATTACTTTGCATTGCTGCCCAAGTTACTAGCTTAAGGCAGTATAATATACTTTTATAGTAATAATAATACGCACAGTTTCATTATTACATCAATGAATTAGTGCAACGATACCGTTTATATAAATGCGACAGATCTTTCAGCGCCAAACAAGTGCTTTACATTATTTTATTCTCCTTATTTATTTCCGTTTTATTTCAAATAATAAATGTTAAAAGTTTTAAGTAAAGACATCAAACTATGCCCACACATGCAAGCTAACCCGGTTAGACTATTCTATACCGATATAGTGAAATCAGCATAACACAAAAAATACGTTTAAAAATCAAGATTTAATATTAAATGCCATTTAATATTATTTTTAATATTAAACTATTTTTAAATTGTTTAAAAGTTTATGTAAATGCTGCGTTCAGGCTGCGTTACTTTAAAGTGTGCATTACCGAGCCTCATTCAAGCACTGCAGCAGAGAGCGTTGTCATGGAAATGGAGCAACGACACGACACGACACGACCCCTGACCGTCAACAGCACTTCTCTCATGCGGCAGTTTTCACTAATTTCAGGTAAGTTTAGTCGCTAAAATCATGCAAATGTTACATACAACTGTTTCTGACACCTTTCTTACTGACAATTGACATCTTTCAGTTGAATATGTATTTTATAGAGACGGTTGTGTCTTTGGAAAAAGTCAGTTAGCATCTTAGCAGAGGAAACGTTAGCATTAGGCTACTAGCTCTTGTTTATACAAGTTTTGGCTTTTAATTACATCTTTATGTGTACATGAGAGGTTTGTCAATGTTTTATTGGAGGTAGTCTACTTTATTTAGCCTAAAATATGCACTTTACTGTTAAGGAGAGCAAATTAAAACGTTAAAGTTAGTACACATGTGTTACCTTACTTTGATATTTCACAGTAATGTAAACTAATGTTGATTTCAAAAAGTGCTCTGTGGTTTCAGGAGTAACAAAATTACCCCTACAACAAAATAGAAGAGCCAAGATGAAGGGAGCTGATCACAGAGATGGAGGAAACACAGGTAAGACTATAATTAACTGTTAAATAGATTCATGTACATTTTTCATAATAAATCCCTATATTATCATGCATCTGATACATGTCTTGATTGCATTTATTTTAAGGTTTTGACATACAAACGTAAATGAGTGGTTTTAAACAAATTTTTACTTCGCTTTTCTCAAAGCTGAATTTACAGCACCAGTGCTCCAGTCCAAAATGTAATATTGTATTTATAATTTGCTGCTGATCAAGCAATATTTCTTATTTTTATTATGTTTTATTTCAGAATTCATTAATGAATAGAAAGTTTAAATTGAACAGTATTTGAATCAAAAATCTTAACTCTTTTCTGATCAGTTTTATGCATCCTTGTTTAATAAGTATGCATTTCTTAAAAAAATCTCACTGACTGCAGTAGTATACTTGACCGTTTAAGGTCTAGGGTCTATTTAACAATAAACAATAAATCCTGGAAAAAAAAAGAAAATAGCTTACACAAGTATTTGCCATCACATCTGTTTTTAACATTCATTATTAGTTTTTATTCATTATTAATTCAGTCTTAAATGCTAAATCAACATCTTAGAATGATTTCTGAAGGATAAAGTGACATAAGATTTAAATAATGTTGATGAAAATTCAGCTTTAAAGTACAGCCATGAATTACATTTTAGGATTCACATTTAAAATATATATTTTTAGGTCCCTTACACTTAAACTCATTCTTAAGCCCAAAAATTAATATAATTTTTTTGGTACATGCATGATGCACAACTCATATTCATTTATGTCATGTCTTTTTTCTCTTTTTCTTTTGTTTTCAACAGCATCTTAAAGGGGCCCAATGGTTCTAGAGCCAATCAGCTTCTGAACATATTTATATGTAAGTAAAGTTTTGACTGACTGCCAGACAGTAATGAGCAAATGACAGTGTGTGTCAGAGTGGCAGTTCTTTAAAACAAAGATCTGAAAATTGATGTAGATTTCAATTCAAAATGTATTTATTTTGAAATATTCATAATGCTTTGAGATATGTTCCCTTTATGCACTAGATGTCCAATTTTTCATTTCTTATTTTAAATGTTTGCAAACAGATCATTGCCATTCATATCTGTAAGATGATTTAGACATTCTTAGCTGCGAATAAATGTATACTTTAAGCATTTATGTAGCACTATGAAGTAATGTGGACCCAAATTGCTTTACAATCTTATCAGAGGTTTCACTTTACATGTTATTTTAAAAACTCATGTAAGCTTAATTTGCACATAAACAGCATGCACCATTAAATATTTGCTAAGGACTGTGGTGTTTTGTGCAGATCTGTTAGTAATATATATTAATGTTAATATTAATAAACTGCAACAAATTAGCCTATTAGAATGATTTTTGAAGAGTCCTCTGACACTGGAGTAATGATGCTGACAAATCAGCTTTGACCTTACATTAATAAATTACATGGTCACACTTTATTTTGCGGGTCAGTTTGTTGAATTTAAGTTACACTGCATTTACATGCCAACTAATTCTTATTAGATTATAAGTAGTCTGTTAGGTAAGGCTTGTGGTTTGGGTTAGTGTAAGTTGACATGTAGTTGCAAAGTTTCTTCTTGTCAGTTTAATGTCTGTTGAAGGAGCAGTATCAGCAGATATTAAGCAGACAGTCTACTAATACTCAGATGGACCATCAAAATAAAATGTTACCAAATACATTTTAAAATGTATTGACATTGAAAATTATTATTTTAAACTGTAAACATATTTTAGTGTTACTTAACTGTAAATGAATTTAATCAATCAAATCAATTCAGTCTTGATGTCCAATAAAAGACAATAAAAAATACAAACATTAATGTTCATAGTGACCTAGTTACTGATGATGGACAAAAATGATAACTGATGATTCTGTTATTTCAGGATAAGAAAGAAGCCTGCTACAAGAGAGACAGCGGAAGGGAGCCTCCAAGACATTTTTATTAGGATCTGCTAATCATGAGGGGGCAGACAAAAGAAACTGCATTTTCCTTCAGCTTAATATCAGGGGTCGGCACAGCGGAAGAATCTGGATATTACTCTGGCATATGTTTTACACAGCAAATGGCCTCCCAGCTGCAACCCAGCACTGTGAAACACCCATACACTCTCGCATTCACAGACACTTCTACACAATGTTCAAATTCACCTACAGTATAGCACATGTGTTTGGACTGTGGTGGAGACCCACACCAAAACAGGGAGAACATGCAAACTCCACACAGTAATGCCAACTGACCCAACCGGGACTTGAACCACCAACCTTTTTGCTGTGAGGTAACAGTCTGAGCCACTGTGCTGCCCCAGTGTAGTTCTTAAAAACTTCCAGATATTTTACAGTTTGATTTTGTAATGATAATGTATGTTTACATTTATTGTAATATGTTAATATTTATTCACAATGTAATGAATTTTTTATGTTATTTATATTAACGTTAAATGTTATATTAATGTTATAATATATTATAATAAATAATTATAATAATGTTAAATTATAAATAATATTTTTTTTATAATGTTATAATGTTTTTTATAGTTTATTTTTATATATAATGATAAGACTCAAAGTTCGTCTTTTTATTATATGACAAACTTATTGTTGTATGGGTAATACTTTTCAATAAGGTTGTATGTATTAGTTAATGTTAATGTATTTACTAACGTAACCAATACATTTATTACAGTATTTATTCATCTTTGCTAATGTTGGTAAATGGTAAAAAAAAGTTGTTCATTGTTTTTCCATCTTAATTCACAATTTATAAACTAAAGTTAACAAGCATGACTTTGGATTTTATTAATGCATTAGTAAATGCTGTACATTAATTATGCTGTACAAGTATTGGTGATACTTAGTTCATATTTAACCCTTTAACATTAACTAATGAAACTACTGTAAAGCGTAATTTTATGTAGTTTATATGCATTTTACATTTATTTTGTTATATTTGTTAACGTATGTGTTTTTGAAACAATTAACCATGATCTAAGTGTTTAAGGTATGCTCGTTATGTATATTAATGTTATAATGATTAAGTATTTTGTACTTGATTTAATTATTGGACAAATTAATATTAAATGCAATTGTACAGGCTAAAATAATATTTAAAAATGACCTGTGGACCGACCGTGGGCCGCCAGCTAACACTTATTTAAAACCCGCTATCCGATGGCGGATGAGCAAATTTGGACCGCCGACTTTGACGCCGGTGGGCCGCCAGTTAGCTGGGAAGTCATCACGCTTCACGTAGCCTTACCCAACCAATATAAATGAGGAAAAGTTAAAATTTACAATCTAATGTTATTTAAAAATTAAAAAAACCAGTAGCTATTTGAGTTACATTTAAGGCATTAGTGTAGCCAGAAAAATACCAAAAAAAGATACCTAAATTCAGTTATTACCGTGAGAATTGGTTACATTTTGGCATGGATAACACGCAGGTAACTCACCTGAGTATATAACTTTTTTTCATAATTTTGAAGGTAAAAATAAAGATTTATGTTAGGCTATAATAAGTGTGGTTTCTTGATATTGTCCGGTTGGCATTTGTAAAAACGCCATCATAAACCATTGTGTTTTATTTATGATTTTATTTATTTATTATGCCTATTATAATAGCTTGTTTTCAGGTTACATTTTCTTTATTTAGGGCCATGAGCTATCAAAACAATATCGATATGAGCTGGTAAAATAGGCCTTAAATATATATTTGTATGTTTCATTTAAACGCAAAAGGCATTTTTAAGTGCCCTAACTTGACTGTTGCTGCATAATAGGATGTTTCTTTCACAACTATTAAAATGCGCTTTAGCTATGTCAAAATGAAAGCAAACATTTAAAAGGGTTCTGCGTTATGTCAATTTAAGTTTAATTTTAATAATGTTAATAATAATAAATATAATAAATTAAAATATTAATTATAGTGTAGACTACTGTGATAATGTGCAGTGTCCCACTAAACATTTTTTATTAGGCTACTCCTATGAAAAAAAACCCATGTACAAATGACTGGCAGTTGCGTCTCTGCTAATATTAATTTAACGGCAAATTTCTTCTGCATTTTTTCCTTTTAGAGCTCAAGAGATTTGTATTCAAAGAATTAGTTTACCAAATCATGTAACGAGCTAGTCTTACAGTTTTCTTCCGTGTGAGTTGAGTGCGCCTCTGCTGCTGGGTGTGCGCACCTGACCTGACGCGGGTACCAGATCTCTCCAAATTTTTTTCTGAAGAGGCAATGGTCTTAATTTATAGTATAGTCTAGGTTATTTAGTAAGAAATGTGTCTGTGACATGGGTCTGTATATGTGCAGTGGGGCCTGCAGTACGCACTAACATGAGGGAGCAAATTGATGCTGGTTTTTATTTATTTATTTATTTATTTATTTATTTATTTATTTATTTATTTATTCATTTATTCATTTATTTATTTATTACATAATTTAAACTGATAACTGATTAAACAGTGTGTGATATATTCAAAGCAAGAAAGAATGACAACAAATAAAGGTGTGCGTTTTTCCACATAAAAATTACCATTCAGATTACTATTGCTTAATACAAAGTTCAAAATGAGTAAATGCTCTTTAAAACAGATAAACGTAATTTAGACATTTGAGTCTAAATCTAATGAGACAAATATGATCCCCTGCACAGAGTGGAGACCATCTCATTATTAGCACATGAGCCATGGAAATTGTCTCGTTTCATCAGACAGATTAGATCCAGCTGCTGCGCAGTAATCTCGCATGGAACCGCTACCATTCAAGGTGTTTTAAACAATTTTATTTTACAGACTGGCTTAAATAAGCAGACATCTCCATTCTCACAAGGAGTTTGAGTTTTTTCACCTTTCAACTGAGTTTGGTAATGTGGGCATGTTCAGTGCTGTTGCGAATAGGCCTATACGAACTTGTAAACGCCTGTCCTGCTCATAAATTATTTGATTAAATTAATTAAATTGTAAATGACCGATACAACATGGAAAACAGTTTAATACAGGCTTCTCTGATACTGAATATTTCACTTTAATGTTATAACATTAATATAATATTAATGTTATTTAGGCTAGAATAATAAATTTTTTATTAATTTTTATTTATTTATTTTGACAACCGAATTAGTGATTCGGCATTGTTGAAGCATATAGCGGATTTGAAGCATCTCAAATGTTATTCGTTCTTATATTTTCTCTAGAAAATAACTGAACATAAAAATTATTGAAACAAAGAGAAAAACTATACGAAATTTGTTTAAAATTTTTTTTTTTTTTTTTAAGAAAAATATATTTTTTGTTTGAGCCTGTCCACTCAGCTGTGCGGGTGTATGATTTTCAGTCAGTGGAAAGTGAGGATTTAATTAGCCGAATGCTTGACCAAATGTATTGTCTCACAATCTTTTGATATATATATATATATTTGCAATTTTAAAGATTATGTTTTGAGCGTCTGATTTTTTCTTTGGTGCTGATGTGTTTTATTACATTTAGATTTCAACGAAATATTAAAATTAAAAAGGAAACGAATTATGTCATAACGAAAAAATATTGTCTTTGACAGTAAGCATCTGTGTCTTGACATGATTGGGAAAGGAGCGGGCGGTGCTGGATTTAGCATACAAAAATAGTGTTATTCCATGCGTTCAAAATAATTACAAACATCAATGTCATCTAAAGTCTAAAAATAATTAAATGTTGTAATAATATATTAAATAATGCCTAACATCTGCGTTTAGGCTGTTTAAACTGTTTCTGTCTTTTAAAACAGCAAGTTCTGCGAAAAAATCGTGCTCTCCCGTTTGCGAAGTGATAGTGATGTGCAGCTTATAGCAGGTGGTTCAGTAGATGCTAACTCATACACATAGACTGTATTAACAAAAATATCACAATTTTAGGTAATAACATCATAAAATATGTTGATATATATTCCTAATTGTAATATGCAATAGAAGCTTTGAATATAATTATGATGTTTTAATAGGCCATGAATGCCTGATATGGCCATTAGTTAGAATTCTGGTCAGTAAAAAAGAGTGTCAGTATATATTAACACTCTCTTTATATCACATTTCTAACATAATAGTTTTAATAACTATTTTAATACTACATATTTTTAATATATCAGCTTAAAGTGCACTTTAAAAACTTAACTATAGGTTAATTTATAGGGTAAAGTTATGGTAGGATTAATTAGGCAAGTCATTTTATATATTGATTTGTTACAATAAAAAAAAGCTCAAGGAGGCTATTATTGACCCTAAAATGTTTTTTTAACATGATTTCGTTGTATTGTCGTTTATTTAAAATATTTTAGCAATCAGTTATTTTATAGAGAAATAAAAAAATTACAGTCATTGTAGCAGACTAAGACAACAATCTGATTATGCAGTAAGGAGCCCCGCCTTCACTCGTTGAGCTCACGCAGTTTGCACTAAACACCTGTGTCTTTTAAAAAAAGGTTTGCTTGCTGTTTATGCTCTTCAGGATCGTTGCATTTTTGCTGTTTTTTGTGTTCCATTTTGATGCTCTTTGATGTAGGACAAAAAGGCAAATTTCTAAAACAAGTGGTTATTGTAGCTTTTTAAATAAAACATTTAGAATTGTTTTGTAATATTTAATTAATGCATTGGATACAAAACTGCTATTTAAATTTAAACGTTTGACTGGAGCGTCGTTAATCTTAATTTTAAATTATTAAATAAAATTTGGCCACTGGTAATTTTGCAAATAAATAAATAAATAGGCGTCACGGTGGCGCAGCACAATTCGGACAGCTAGATGGTCGCTGGTCGACCGATCAGAATTGGGTCAGTTGGCATTTCTGTGTGGAGATGCATGTTTTTTTTTTCGTGTTGGCGTGGGTTTCCGGATGTTTTACCCCACAAGACATCCCACACAGAAAGAACGTTCGTTCATTCATTCATTCATTCGTTCATTCATTCATATTCTTGTCGGCTTAGTCCCTTTATTAACCCGTGGTCGCCACAGCGGAATGAACCGCCAACTTATCCAGCACGTTTTTACGCAGCGGATGCCCTTCCAGCCGCAACCCTGGGAAACATCCACAAACTATGGAGCGAGATACAAACACTCATTCTCACACATTCATTCACTACGGACAATTTAGCCTATACTCAATTCACATGTACCGCATGTGGACTGTGGGGGACACCGGAGCACACAGAGGAAACCCACGCGAACGCAGGGAGAACAAACTGCCTATGGTTTATGATGGTGTTTTTACATTTGCAAAGCGGACAACTGCACACTTATCATAACCTAACATAAATCTTTATTTTTACCTTTAAAATTATAAAAAAAAAAGGTATATAGTCTAGAGTTGTGTGTTATCCATGCCAAAATTTAACCAATTCTCTCGGTAATAACTGTATTTAGGTAGCTATCTTTTAAAGGTATTTTTCTGTCTACACTAATGCTTTAAAATTTAACTAATTAACACAAATAGCTACTATTTTTTATTTTTTAATGACATTAGATTGTAACATTTAACTTTTTCTCATTTATATTGGTTGGGTGCGGCTACGTGAACACTTTTTTCAGTGTACGTGAAGCGTGATGATTTTGCTGATTTCACTATATTTATTTATCGATATAGAATAGTCTAACCGTGGGTTAGCTTGCAAGCATAGTTTGACGTCTTTACCTAAAACTGTACACATTTATTATTTGAAATAAAACGGAAATAAATATGGAGAATAAAATAATGTTAAGTTTCCCAGAGATGGGTTGCGGCTGGAAGTGCATCCGCTGCGTAAAAACTTGCTGGA